CGGGGGACTCGCATCCTTCCCGGGCCTCTCTACGCTATCACCCGAGAGCACCCCATTGTCAGCAGACAGGAACACGGAGGTAAAGAACTTGTTGAAGAGGTCTGCCTTCTCTTGCGCGTCCGTCACCAACTGCCCTGCCCTGCCCTGCCCTGCCTCGTAGGGGTCCAATGTTACCCCGAGACGACTTCTTGCTACCTATATACTTGAACTCAGGTGAAGACAAAGACTTAAATCTATGGCCATTAGACAAGGCAGAAGTGCCAAGACTGTTGCGCACAGAATCCAACCTGCTGAGTCCTCCTCAGAACTCTGGGGACTGGAGGAAATGGAGTCGAGGAGAGCAGCACTTTCCTTTGCCATGACACAATGGCATCAGATATGCACCACCTGCACCTTCTCACTGTACAGGGGAACCTCAGTCTAATCCTCATTCTAATTTGGAGCAAACAAGCCTGTGTGGATGACCTCCATTCTGTAAGAATAAAAAGCCACTGAGGACCCGAGTGACCATTCAGGTGAACCATGCACTTTCAGTCTGTTTCTACACTTGTCAGGGCAAAGGGAAGAGTCATTTTTTGCCCCGGGTCTTTAGGACATCAAATTGCTTGGGGTTGGGGCAAAACTGTGGCAGGTGAAGATCTCCTAACCCTTGATTTTGAATGACTGATGCACTCAGAGGCCAGAGGGCAGCTGTTAGGACCCGTTTTTCAGTGCATGAGTTGGGAAGGGGGAACATTCCAACGGTCTCATTGTCTCCTCCTCCTATTTCCAGCTCTATAGTGGTTCCTATACTGCAATCATTCCTGTGGTATCTGAGCACCTTCAGAGTTGTGCATTAAAGGAACATGACTCACACTCATCACATGTTCTCTCATCTTCTCCAACTCTGTTTTGGTAATTTTGGTAATTTTTTTTTAATAACCATGTGTTGCTGTGTGTAAAAGAAGGCGAACTCAGACAAGCATACCTTGCACTAGGAGTGGCAGGTGGTAAAATATGTGATGGTCTGTTCTCAGATCAAGTGCTTAAGAAACCCTACTAAAAGCAATCATCTGCAGCAGTACCTTAATGAGAAACCCTCCAGGCTATCTGATGATCTTGACACCACTGATCACTGAGAGAACCAAGAAAGGCATCCATGAGGCATGTGAACAATTTTCTAGGCTTCTCCACAAAGAAACACCAGGACTGGGTTTGATAAGAATGATAAGGAAATTGAAGCACTCACTGACAGAAAAAGAGAGCCTTCAGACCTTAGCAGAATGACATCAGCTCCAAACAGAAGCCAGACACTTACTGCCACATTAAAGCCAAGACCCCAAGGAAAATTTGAGAGCAAAAGAACAAGGGAGGACAAAGCAAAAGAGAGTCACAAGTTTGCCGATAGCCAAGGTATGTGTAGTTTCTTCAGTGGAAAAAAAAATACTGTCATCCTTGTATCGAGGGACTGCCGCTGCTGACGACTGTTGCAGCTGCTGCCCAGCATAAGGTGCAGAACAGGCCGTGTTGCCACCACCGCTCCTCCACATCAGGATGCTCCTTGCAGTTTGCAGGGTCCCAGAGCTTAGCAGCCACTTAAAAGAAGCCCAGGGGCCTGTATCTGGCCCATGGGTCATACGCTGCCAACCCTTGCTGTGTATGTATGCTGGTTCTCTAAAAAGGCTGCTTTTTTTCTGAAATTGTCCCCATGCATCTAAAGCATTCATAACTACCTCACAAAAACAGTCACTCAGGAATAACCTGATCAGGCTGGACAAACATTTAAATGTAGAAAATAAAACCAGTGAGTTACAGATTTAATATTTGTGAGGCACTCTAAAGAGCAAAAAGATGGAACAGAAATCATGTGTCCTTCGCTGTGTAGTCAGAAAGAAGTAGCTTTCTCTGTTGGTTAATAATTTACCAGCATCTCTGCCTTGGGCTGACTTTTCCCCCTTATGGATCACTCTTAAAACTTTATCAATGATGACAAAGTTGCTCAAATTGTGTCTACTACTGATGATAACATTTGACCCATAAAATACAGAATTTGGAGCCAGAAAGCTGAGCCAATAACAAAGGGAGAGGTTAGTAGAAGTGGCTTTTTAGTTTTCTATATCTAAGTTCAAATATTGCACCATAAGCTATTTCATTGCAAAATATCTTCATTTCTTTGCTGTTCTGCCCAAGATACATGCTCAAACACAATGCCCCATGGGACACAGTTTTGAAAAGGAAACAAAATCACAACTTAAGAAATCTTAAACTTATGCATCTGAGTTATCCATAGCAATGTAAACCATTTTCTGGCAGGGAAAGTTCTCACACCTCAGAGGAAATACCACATCCTTTGAGGCTGCACTTCAAAAGGACTGACTAGTCAGGGGCAAGTTCCAATGGCAGGCAGAGCTTGCCCAATGCTCCTCTTCTCTCTCTCTCATGACCCTGGTCCCAAGAACAGTGGGAGTAGGGCTTTTCACATGGTAACACACAGCACCAATTGCAGGGTATAGCTCTTCGTCCAAACCAGCATAATTATGATCAGACTTTAATAAAACATTGGGGGGTTTTTTCACCTTTTTTCCCAATTAAGGTAAGCGATTGGCAAAAGAATCAACATCTCAGCTTGAAACCAAATAAGTGCAAGTTTTCATGGTATTCATATAAATATAACTCAATGAACTGATGGCAACTGTTGACTGAGATATTTCTAAGGATCTCACAATTGAAACAGTCTAGAAAATTACTGTGCAGTACCATACACTACAGATCATTCTCTCGTGAAATCTGTTATACATGACTGCATCTTATTAAAGTTATAAAATGGGGTTAAAGTGTAGCCATGATGGTCTAATAACCATACAAATCAAGGGGTTTTTGTGATGTCTTTTGTGAGACCTGAGGAAGGGCACTTTGTGCCCAAACCTGCACCGCCCCAGCTATACATCTGGTCCAGTAAAAGATATAAACTCCCTTCCTTGCTTCTTGTAAAGTTTTGAGAGCATGATTTTAGACAGTATAAAAAGGATTCATTATGCCAATCATCTTATTTTGCATATCATTATTTACAACATGGGATATGATATATCCCTGCATTTACATCAACTGCCTCTGATAAATGGTTTTTAAACCAAATATATATAATTTTAGAATATTCACATTACTCTTTTCCACTTCATCACATTCCAGAACTATCCTTAGTAAATGAACAAGAAGCTGATAACCTAACTGGCATATTCTGCTCTTGACAAATATTACCTACTATTGAAAACCTCTCTCTTGTCCAGGAAACACAATCTATATCAACCGGTCTCTAAAAAGCCCCTTTAAGTATCCGCAAATTTCAAGACCTTTGTTAAAAATATTTTTGGATTTTTTTATCCTAATTTAACCCCATGAGCTGATAATTCACCTCCCAATATACATCTCTATCCAACTTCTGAAATTCTATTAGAAACAGTGATGCACATACATTTCATTAGTCTTTGGGTCTCTGGAGATTGTGCAGCAAGTTATGCAACTCCAGCTGGAAATGGTTAGAGTTTAGGTTAGGACACTGGTGTCTTTACAGAATTGCCAGCTCTGTTGCACCACACATGAGCAGGCAGTACAGTATTACTCAGAAAAAGTTTCATGACAAACACAACTGAACACAGAGTTTCTCTCATCAATACAGGCCTGTCCTGCCATGAACTTGCCCTTTCAGTGCTTGGTCCACAAAAAGGTACGTGCATGATGATCATCAGCACTGTTCCCATCCCATTCAAGTTCTGCCCATGGAGACCAGCCCAGGCCCCCCGCAGGCAGGACACCCTTGGCCAGGCGAATGGGATGAGGCCACAGGTGCATGGAGAGTGATGTCCAGGAGCAAGATGGGTGGGGGCCAGGATTGCAGGGCAGTGACGGTGCGGGACTAGGGCCCAAGACACAGCCAAAATCCACTCCCTGCACACCACTACCTGCAGAACCAGTGCCTGTCACAGGGATGTTTGGGGAGCAGATTGTGGCTCTTCCCCAGGCCCCGGCCCTGCGTTGTCACTGCCCTGAGATCCCAGCCCTAGCCCTGGCCCTGCCTGCCCATTCCACTCCCAGACGCCGCTTCCTGCCTGCCAGCAGCCACATCCCATCTGCTCAGTTAAGCACACCCTGCCCATGGGTCCCAGCCAGTGTCCATGAAGACCCCACCCACCCACTCTGACCAACACCCCTGGTAGTAGGTGCAGGGCAGGTGGGCCGGCGGGCCTGGGCAGCAGGACCGTGTCTAGTGGCAGTGCCAGCACTGGCAGCAGCAGCTGGAAGGAACGTGAATCTGGCTGTCACAGCACCCCAGCCCTGCTGTGCACCTGGGGGTGGTGGGACTGGTCAGATGTGCTATGACCTGTGCTACCCCCCACACTTAGGCCAGGCAGGGCTGAGGGACCCACCATGGGCTGGATAAAATGTTTTGGTGGGCCAGATGCAGCCCATGGGCGGTATTTTGTCCACCCCTGAGTTACTATATTAAAGCAGAGGCATCACAAGCTTTTTCAAGCACCCGGGGCGGGGGAAGGAATTATACTGACCAGCGGAAAGCAGTGGTGGGGGAAAGAGAGGAGTCTTACCTTCCTGGGCTCTCCTCACTTGACCTTATTTGGACTTTTGGATCTGCTATAACAAGCGTCTGAAAACCTATCCCAGAGAATAGCTAAATAAGGCACAGAGGTGCTCTAACAGCAGCATGACAACACACGAACCATATAACAATATACTATGTTCAAACATCCTTCCTGCTCTCAAGTGAGGGGGGTATTTTAATTTCCCAGTTAATGGTGTTACTGTGAGGGGAGCAGCATCAGTATTCCTCTTAGGAGCCTCTTCTTGCCTGCAGTGATATTCAAGTATCTCTGTAACTCCTTGAGCATGCGTAACAGCAGGCTTTGTGACTAATTATGGCTACTATGACATCAGTGTAAGTAGAGGGAACCCACACTTGTAATTTCACTCCTTCAGCAGAATGACATGCCAGGAAGTCTCATGCTTACCTTGATCTCTGCTGCTTTGATGACTGAGCATAGAAAGGCTTGAGCCCATGTCTAGGATTTGCCATACATCCTGGAGGGAATTGTGTACTCCAGATGATGACCATAAAGTCTGCTGTGATTGGCTTGGAACCTCCCCACTGCAGAGTTGAGTCTGGTTCATTGTTGAGACTGTACACTCCGTGTATTGCTCTGGTCCCCCATCTGGAACAGAAGATTCCAGCTGAACCTGTGGAAATTAAAAGTCACTCTTAGGAGAATACCTGCTCTTTCCTTAGATGACTGAAGTTGGTCAGCAAGTGCCCACAGGATATGTCAGAGAGCTTCAGCAGCTGGAAAGCAAGCCGAGTCAGGGAACTGTATCGCTATTTCTAATTTACATCCAGTATAAAAGTGGTGATGGGGTGGGGTGGGAAGACAGGAGGTATAGATGGAACATAACATATTTAAAATTGTATTTTATAATATAGTTTTATTTTGTATGATATTTGTACCTAATCCAGAAATGACTCAAGTAATTAGTTTTAATGCCTTATAGAAACTGAGTGTTAAAATTGCATAGAGTGTGATTAAAGATAATTTAGGCTTTTATAGTAACTCCTCTCCCATACCTGAACCTGTGGCAATTCTGTTCCCTCGCCACCGCTGCTTGGGGCACTGTCACTACTGAAGGTCTCTACTGAGCTAGGGAAGGCAATCATAGAGGCCAACCTTAGGAAATCTTGTTGTTGTGCATACTGTAGCGCCTCCAGTCATGAAAAGGAACCAGCATTAATACACAATTAATTTAAGAAGGGCATTCACAGATAAATTTGAATGGGCTTTTCTGGCCTCTGGAAAGATTATGTTCATACCCATTTGCTTCATAACACCACTAGAACTGGTCTGAAAAGGTAGAGCTATTCTTAATGGGTCATTACATTATGCTGCTGATGCCCACAATCAAATGTAGTCAGAAATCTAGTCCTAATAACTCCTTGCAAATTCTCTCCACAACCCCCTGTTCTTTATTCACATCAACAACTCCTGCAGAGGGCTGTTAGCCATGTTAGGCTGAAGTTAGGCAGAAGGTAGGGCAGGGTGACATCTTATTAACCTGTCTGTTAACTGGGCTTGTTCAACAAGATCCTTCTTCATCAGGTATGTCCAGTCCATATGGTGGCAAGGACAGGCTGACTCTGCATGTACTAGCTCCCAATCTGGACCTAGTGCAGCTATGTTAGTGTAGTGCAATGCCCACGCCAGGACGCTGTGCTGAGCTGAGCTGCAGAGCTTGATGCCTCACCAACATGGCGACACTACTTCATGTTCAGGAGACCACGCTGGCAGTTAGCATGACATGTGACAGCACGAGTGTTGCCCCACACTAGAGGGACATAGCCTTGAACTGACTGTTCCTTTAACCTTCCACACTCATGCCAAGGTGTAATCAAACCAGATCTCTGTGATCAAGCCACATAAAAGTAACTTCATTGAAAGAGTAAGTAATAGAACATATAGGCTAGAAAAAGGGACTGATAAGCAAAAAATAGCTCCATTTTAGTGGTAAGACAGTTTAGCGGTAAAGAGAGAACTTTCAAAAGTCAAGTTGAGTTAGATGTTGCAAAGTTAAAAACCAGAGTAAAAAGTTCTTGCTATGCAAATGAGAGTTACTTCAGCTGAGGTAGAAGCAGAAAACTGGATCAACCCCAAAGGATAACAGATGCTATTATGATGTAAGTAAGGTTGGCAAGCTGATCAACAGACTGGAGAAATACCGTAAACTAACCAGTCAGTTAGAATCACAGAAGCATAGAAAATGAGGGCTGAAAAGGACCTTAGGAAGTTGCATCTAGTCCAACCCCTTGCTCAAAGCAGGACCAGCGCCAACTTGATCATCCCCACTAAAGTTTGTCTAGCTGGGTCTTAAAAACCTCCAAGGATGGAGAGTCCACAACCTCTCAAAGTAACCCATTCCAGTGCTTCACCACCCTCCTAGTGAGAAAGTTTTCCTAATATCTAACCTCAACTTCCCTTGCTGCAACCTTGGGGTCCCCCAGGGCTCGGTCCTCGGGCCAGCACTGTTCAACATCTTCATCAGCGACTTGGATGAGGGGGTAAAAAGCACCCTGTTCAAATCTGCTGACGACACTAAGATGTGGGGGGATGTGGGCATGCTAGAAGGGAGGAATAGGCTGCAATCAGACCTAGACAGGTTACAGGGGTGGGCGGATGAGAATAGGATGGGATTCAACACTGACAAATGCAAGGTGCTGCACCTCGGGAGGAAGAACCAGCACCATACCTACAGGCTGGGGAACTCCCTTCTCATCAGTGCAGAGGCAGAAAAGGATCTTGGAGTCATCGTTGATGCCAAGATGAACATGGGCC